CATGGCAACGCCGCGCCGCCAGGAGCTGGACAGGGCCTGCCTATGGGCTACAAATATTTGACCCTTCGAGTCCCGGACAGGTGGATGACGCGGAACTAACTAATTTGTGAAGCTTCCCAACAGCGGAGGCTCGGAACTGCCTCGGGGGCAGCTGTCCGTCCCGAGGGCCGCTGGTGACCGGGGTAAGGCAACTCCCGCCCCCCATCACCGGGCCGTGCCGAGCAGGGCCGAAGGCCCAGAGGTCTCAGCCCAGCAGGGTCTAGTACTGGTGCGAAAAATAAACGGGAGACAACAACAGGCCTCGTTAATAAACACAGTAAAGGAAAGATAACAGTTTCTTACTGGAGTTCTAGCTAAGCTAGCAACTTCAGTGTTTCCTTCATCTCTCACATGACTGAGAAACAAAACCAGATTTCACTGCATCTCTGAAGAACAGCGGGGGCTGAATGTTTTGCTCAGCAAAACTAAGGGAGGTACTTTATTCAGTGCCAGTTTACCCCACACTCGTCAATACTGCATTAGAGCACTTTCCATGAACGTACTAACAAATATCCATCATATGTTAATTTGCTCTCTAGAGAGGAGAAAAAATAAAAATACATTCATGTGAACCTAAGTGAGGCTTAGAGCACTTTCCATGAACGTACTAAGAAATATCCATCATGTTATTTTGCTCTCTAGAGAGGAGAAAAAATACAAATACATTCATGTGAACCTAAGTGAGGAAGCACAGTCATCTGGAGGTTTGTTTAAGGCTTTGTTTGTTTAGGGCATACAGATTTCTGTATATTAGAGAAGGAAAAGCCAAAACCAAAACAAAGCATCCACAAAGTCTCACTATATTCTTACTCTCCTTCATATTTTTATTATCCATACTAATTATTTCGGCCACACACATTAAGGTATTTTCTATGCTCATGATTATCACTAATGCAGAAATTTATGCAAATTCCAATTTTTACTATACTTCATAGTCAACATGAGTCCATTTATCACTGTCCACAGTTTACTAAATAAGGTCAAAAGTCAGCAGTGTTAAGTTCCTCACTCTCCACCATGTATGTATTTCAATACACATCTTGAGCAACATTCGCTCTGACCACAAACATTTAACAAATGTGAAATGCTTAGCCCTGTTATTTGAAAGGCTGAATTAAAATCTGTCTCCTCACTAGGGAAAAAAAAATCAAGTCCGAACACTGAGCAAAACCAACCTCCTCGTCTGCCTCTCTGCGGAAATCCTGGCAACCCAGTGTTCTCCTGTATGCTGGATGCCGAAACACTCATGATCAATGGTTCTTTGAAAAAGCCTCAGGTTTTACTGTTTAAAACAACTTCAAGTGAATATGGTGCTATATCGCCTGTCTCACAGATGGTAGCCCGTACTTACCACCCAGTGGATCAAACCTTTTCAAAACACTTACTCACTTGTGGGTCACTTGAAGATAGTTATTTAAACACTGCCATTGACAGAAGTAGGGTATATGACCACCCCAATTTACAGCATACTCTGTAAAAATGCATCTCCATCTTTTTGTTACAGACTTAGACTAGACACTTAGCTTTAAGAAAACCAATCTGTTATTTCAGTCATTCCGGGAATAACTGTCAATATCTGATTTATTTTGGTTTTGCTGGGTTGAATAAGATGTATCAAAAAAGATGTAGCCCATTTGATGATACCCTTCTCTCAATCAGACCTAAACCCGTAAAAATAAAACTTTTGAAACTGGTATCATAAATGTGGAACTCTAATTTTATAGAAAGAGTTAAGTGCAAGAGACACTGACCAGAAGGTTTATTTGTTTTAATTAAAGTATTTTCTGGTTTCAAAACTTGAAGTCAGTCTCCACATTCCTACATCTCAAGACACTAATGGCAACACAATACATGTGCCTTTCATACGGTATACACGCTGTCAGCTCAGGTATTGAAGCCAGAAGTTGAACATCCATTTGCTCCCAATATAATCAGATGAAACAGGCAGATACTGCTCATGCTACCAAGCACATTTGCTTCCCTAACCTTTAAAATGGGCATTGTTTCTATTTGATAGCAGTAGAAAAAGGTGCCTGTCTACATCAAAAATAGCCTTGAGTAGCTATTACAAATCACTACAATACAAATAGACTATACAGATGTATACAGATTGTTCTAACAGGCTCTGGAAGCAATAGAAAAAATGAGGAACCTGGAACCAGTGTCTGCTTCTTTGCATTTTCTTTTTCCCATTGCCAGCATCTCTCCTCCTTAGCCCCACATCCCCTCAGAAAATAGCCATGTTTTGGCAAGTATACCATTACACTCAACTGAGGCACTAAAGCTCCTGCACTGCCCTCCTTCCAAGTGCTATAAAAAAAAAGTATTCTCACCCCCTTCCATTGCAATGCAGTAGGTATCCATAGGAAAGAAGGAACGGCAGCTACCCCAGAGATTTCTGGATCACCTCAGCACTCCTCTCAAGGCTCTAAGTAAAGCAACCGGAAGCAACACCTGCCACCTTCTCCCTGTTCCAGAGTATAAAATTTACACAGAATGACATATATCTGCATAATAAATACTTTCTTCCAAAGAAAGAAATCAGTAATAAATGGTATTCAGGAAACAGACTGATGGGGAAAAGTCAGGAGCCTGCTAAAACTGCTACTGAAGGGAGTGTAGTTGAAATGGTCACGATTTGCATAGTATGCCTAACAAAACAGAGCCACTTCAAGTCCAGTGTTTCAGGTTGTCACTGTAATACAAATGCTAACATATATATATAAACAATACAATTCTATATTACATTCTGCCACTACCCAAACCAACAGGTGCAGGACTTCAAAGCACAGTGTCATACTTCATGTCATTTCACACTGCTTGTAACCTCACCAGGATGGTCCCTTTTTTGAGAGTCTTTAATCACACCAGTACCCCTGAGATAGTGGCCAATGTCAAAACAGTATGAACTAAAAGACTAGCTCAAGAAAAACATATATGCTCATATAAATAACAATGTTTTCGATTTAGAATATGTTTTACAGCTACACTGTAAGATTACTAATTGTAGTAGGATGGAAGAAGTGAGCCATGTTCGTTGACAGGACAATTTATCACAGGAATAATTTACCACTACACTACAATACAACACTACAGGTTTGTAACTTTTCCAATTACTTTGTTTGGGCAACCCGAACAAATGTCTCAAAATAGCCTGAAAGTATTCCATGTACATTACTTAACGTTAAAAAGAATGTTCTGCACTACATAAAATCTACCTCTATGCTTCCAGGTGAAGGATTTCCAAACTAGATGTCTGAATTAGCCTATCTAAATTCACTGTCTTAGTTTCAGATGTGTCAAACACTATGAACAACAAGAAAAGAGGAAAGCATATAACCATATCACACATATCTGTTTCAGCTTTGGTGGAGAACAGAAAGATAAGAAGTTAACAGGTGTTGATTACACGGACCTACTGCAGTTTGAAAACCCACTGTTTAGATTCGGTAGATATTTCCAGACAGATACTTCATTTAGATATGAGTAACTTCACATCAAGTACCAAAAGCATGTTTTAATATTGGGCCCACCAATACTTCACAGAAAGCCACAATGTGACAACTTTGTATCAAAATGATATAAAATACATCTAATCTTATTTGTTAGAATACTATACTTTCCAAAAATAGTAATTCATATATGCAACCTTTTACCAATTCTGTAGGTGTTCTGAGTGAAACGGAAAAATGTCCAGTGATCAAAATGTTGATGAGGACTAAGATTTCTTCTGATGCCCTCGAAAGGCACTCCTGTTTTGTTTTGTTTTTTTTAATTAAGAATCTTCTGTTGTTCCTTGAATTAGGTGTCGAATCTTCTCAGCATCTTTTTCTATAGTTTTATTTTTAGGATCAATCTTGAGAGCTGCTTCATAATCCTGAAGACCTAATATAGATACATCAATAAGAATGTCAATCAATAATGCAAGACCATCCTTTTTAGCAACTACCTGGAAATAACCGTTCCCTAGTCATATGCATAAAGTATTGATCTTGAGGTTTGCTACTGAGCAAGATGGAATCAGAATGACATTAGGTTTAATTTTTGTCGGTAAATAAATGTATATTTTGCTTGTATTATTTTACAAAACAATTTAGTGGAAACACTCTATGACGTAAACATTTTCAAGTATTGAAACATGAAAACAGGGCCTCTTCATTCACACACACACACTATGTATATATGTGTATGTGTGTGTGCATGAGGGGAGTGTTTAAAAGTGTTCTGCAGAAGAGAGAAAAATCAAATGACAGAATGAAGATGCATGAAAACAAGGGGAAAAAAAAAAAAGACAATAACTATGTCATGTGAATACTAGAGCTTGTGGGGAGCCTAAACCACGACAGGGGGGGGAAGCAACCCGCGAGTACAGAAAGTAAAATAAAATCTTGTTTAATGGTCTTTTTTATAAGGTTTCAAAGTGCAAATGAATCTGTAAGGGAATGTCAAAGTGATTCATAGGCAGAAAAAGGTAACCAATGGGAAAAGCTTAGTATTTCAACACTGACATTTTGAATATTCTTTGCTTTCTATTACCAAATTTCACTTGTAAATTTGCCTTAGAAAACTAAACTGATACTCTTAGAGAACTCAGTAGGGACACTTAACTCAGGTATTTTTACGTAAATCACACATACTCAATGAAACATTTTGCTCATCAATACAGGTTTCATACATCATTTTACAAAGATATGATACTAAGAACTTCACAAGCAAATATTTTAGAAATATATCAGATTATTTTAAGTTAATTTGTTCTATAGTTGTAAATACTGTAAATATAATCTCAAAACCAATAAAACATTGCCTCATGAACAGCAAAACTAGTGCAACCTGGTTTCTTATCAGTTTGCATCCTATCTTTGAACGCTTCCCAACGCAAATACCTCATCTCTGACCCCTCATTAGTTCCTCACTAATACGTTCCATGGCCACCAAGCTGTTATGGTCACGAGCTGGCCATTATGCACAGAAAGACCAACTACCCCATAGACCAAACAGAAGATACACAACTCACTAAAGCCTTTTCCTCAATGGAAAAACTAATTTGTACTCCTTAAACCAGGAGTACAATCAATTTTCTTAAAATTTATAAAGATTTTTCAAGTGGAATTGCAATTAGCCAGTAATAAAAAAAAAAATAATAAAGGAATGTGGTACAAAGGTTCATAACAAAAAGAAACATAGATTGTATAGGCCTCCTTTAACATCTCTCTTGAAAAAATAAAGGCGTGAGCCGTCTCACTGAGCTGAACAGGATTACTTGCATGTCACTATAAATCCATGCGCATGTTTTCACAAAATCAAGGTCTCACCTTCAGTATATAACTCCAGCTGACAAAATGCTGTCCCACGTCTCACATACGCTTTTATTCGAGCATTCTTATTATCAGGAACAGGTGGTGTCAGCAGTTCTAGTGCCTTTACAAATGAAAATACCCAAAATATTTAGAGGTGGATTTTCCATAACTTTGAGGGTTTTTTCTTATTTACACACACTTTTCTCACCTGATTACTATTATTATACAGTAATACAATTCAAATAGAAGTAGAAAATAACTATTAAAATTTAACTATATGGCTTGTGATTCTAGTCGTTAAGATTTGTACGTGTCACCCCACAGTTTGCTAAATACAGTTTCATTGCCATGTCTAAAAACTGACAAACACTGTGTTAAATGTTTATTACAGCCAAATAATGTATTCTATTTTCATACTATGCAACAACAACAACAAAAAGTCAGCCCTAAAGAAGCACATGTGTTGTAGCAGTAGTTACTAAAAAAAAACAAGTTTCAAGCCTTAAGCAATTATTAGTTCAAAAAATAGTAATTCTGGGACAACTTTCTCCAAATTATTCAGGTGCCATTTGAGATCATTCCTCTCTCATGGCACAAATAATGGCTAATAAAACATCGAGTTGATACAGCCATTCTTTAAAAATGTCTGGTTTCTTGTTTGGGGAATTTTTTTTATGGTATTCTCCTCATCACCACCACCTTTTTTTTCTTCCTTCCAACCAAATGAAGAACACCACAATGTAATACAAAAGGTATCTGTCTATATTTTCTTTATTTTCCTGCTCAAAGTTGTCTTTTTTTCCAAGCGTATATATTGCTACAATATTTTACCTGTAAAGAAACATGTCCTGAGTCAACACACGGCCATTCAGCCTAAATGTGTGGAAGCATGGTTTGGCTTTTTTTTGTTGCCGCTTTCTTTTAAATTTCTGAAAGTTTATTGATCAATCACTATCAAGTTTTAATATTTCACCATGGCTTCATTATATCAATTTTGAATTTAACAGTTCTGAATCACATTAATAAGTATTTACAGATCTGCATGAAACAGAAGCATCACAGTAATAAATCACAATCATGTATGACAGTCTGAGAACCTATATATTTATACCTTAGAGGAATCTTCAATAGCTTTATGTAAATTTCTCAGTTTAAGGTGGCACGCCGCACGATTCAG